GCTTCCTTCTCGCGAGGGGGGCCTTCCTCTGTGCCGCCCCCGCCTGTCTGTGTGTCAGTCGGTCCCTGACCCCCCTCTGCCCCATCCAGCTGTGGGGTGCGGAATGGAATTCTTGCTCTTTTTTCTCCTCTTATCCCCCCCCCAATCCAGCCATCCCCGTTTGTCCGCTGGGCAGTTTGTCTGTCTGCCGTCCCCCCACCCCCTTTGTGGGTTTTTCCAGCCAAGTGATGGAGCCGGTTGCTATGGTAACTGCATCTGTTTACAGGACCCACATATCCCAGAGCCCATTAACCCTTTCCCTTTCCAGTCTCCCCCCATCAAATAACGATTGGCTCCCAGCAGTCTCCTACCCCCCCCCCCCTTTTTTCTTACCTTGGGTTTCCCTACCCCCCCTGCCAGGGGCGCCCTGCCCCCCAAGGTCCCTCCCCTTTCCAGTTTCCTTCCTATTCCTGCCACTTTCCTTTGTCTCCTGTTCCCCTTGGTCTGTCCCTCACCTTGGCCTAGCCTTACACCTGGTTCTTCAGAATGCCCATTTCTCATCCCTCATCCAGATGGCTTTTACCTGGAGAAGGTCCCATCTCTTCCCGAGGCCCTCTCAAGAGCCTCCCCTGCCTGGCTTTCTTTGCCTCACTGCAAAACTGTCAATCAGCCTCTAGCTTATTGTTGAGGGCCCCTGGTCCCCCTTTTCTGCCTTCTCTCCTCCTGTCTTCTGATGTTTCGACCTCCACCCCATCCCCTCTATACTTGTCATGTGTGACCCATCCAGCTTGGCCCCGTCCAGCTTGGCCCCGGCCAGTACAGCCCAGCATCTTCTACTCCCACATCCTGCGTACCTCTTTGCTTGTCATCCTTTGGGGTTCCTCTCACCCCTCTCTAATCTGTCTCCCTGTACCTTTTCCTTCCCATTGCCTCACCTGCTTCTTTCCAGGTCTACCTCCTTACTTTTCTTTACCTGGGACCTGCTGTTTCTGCTGCATGGTTCACCCTGTGCTCTTGAGACTTCTCTCTGCCATTGCTTGCCACCTTTCTCTTTTTCTTCTGGGTCCAATAGACTCAGGCTGCACCCCTACTGTGTGGGGAGTGAGCCCCCATAGGCACCTCCAGATACACACTTAGTCTCCAGCCCAGTTATCCTGTGGCTTCACTCTTTCTCCAGACCTTTGTATTTTTTCTTCCCCGTTATTCTGTTTCTCTCTTT